ATATGTGGTGGCAGGGTGATGAAACACCGAGCAAGAAAGTGAGCTTTGTGGTCTGCCGCTCAAGCCAACAAACAAGCACATCTCATTTGGATTGCCAAGCGTTGGTATATAATATACACTTGCTGCTTGCTATTGGCTTGTCATTTCGTTCCATACAGGCTCAAGTGACAAGTTATTTGGACTCAGAGGAAAGACCACACCACGCCATGGCCAGTGATAGGCTTGAGCTAGAACATGATTTTTTGGACAATGCCAAAAGCTTCAATTGGGCTGCGGTGAAAGACCTCCTGAAGGAGACGCCTGATTTGATCAATGTCCAGCCTTCAATGCGATGGACTGCTCTGCACCAAGCTGCTTTCGATGGCAATGCTGATATTGCGGCTTTCCTTCTGGAGAAAGGCGCAGACCCTCAAGCCCTTACGCGCTCTGGCCAAACCGCTTCCGAAGTAGCCAAGAACGAGGCGGTGAGGCGGGTGCTTCAAAAAGCAGAAGGAGACGGGGAGGGAGAGGCAGCGGCAGAAGCTGGGCCTCCGAAAAAGAAGGCAAAGAAAATGCGCAACTATCAACTCAACATCAACAATGCAGTGGACAAGGAATATGAAGGAAGCAGCCTCAGCGACATTGCTGCCGCTCCAACCTCAGCTTTGCAAGGTGTGGCGCAGAAAGGGCGAGATGTCCTCAAGAAGTTTAAGGTCCACACCATCAGTGACTTGGGAAATTGGAAGTTCTACCGCATTTCAAAAGCAATCCTGGGCTTGTCCTCGCTGGAACAAGAAGGAAAGCGAGAAGAAGGAGCAGCCTTGAACATAAACAAGGCCTTGGACAAAAAGCATGAGTGCAAACATTTGAAAGAGATTTTGGAACTTCCCCCATCAGCCTTGCAGGGTTTGGCTGGCTGGGCTGATGCGGAGCTTGCAAAAGTAGGAGTCACGACGATCGCCAAGCTGGGGGATTGGAAATATGCGAAATGGGCTGAGTGGATTTCCGAGCTCTCCGAGTTTGAGAATCTCGACTTTGCCAGCCTTTGAGCAGCTGAGTCCTCCTACTTTGAGCTGACTCTCGATTGAATCTATAACAGCTGAGAAGAACCGAAAAGCCGCACCAGAGAACCGACAGATGTCCCTAGTGAGTCCTCCTGACAACAGACCAAATTCTGCATCAAAACACTTCAACTTGCACCAGGATGCAGATGCAGATGGTCAGGCCTCTCAGATTTCCAAGATCCGCAATGGCACTGGTCTCAGTGAATGGCAAAAACTAAGTGCCTTGCTGTATTATGTTGTATTATTACCCTCAGTGTAGTTCCCCACTTGAGGCACTGGCTTTGTAGCTGGAGAAAACTTGCCAGAAACTGACGACGATGAGGACGAAGAGCCGCACATAACGACTTACACAGTGAGATCCTCCACTGTTGAGGATCCTCCTTTCCAGCCGGGGCGGAAAGTAAGCTTTTCTCAAGTCCTAGGCTTATGATTCATGACAATGCTTTTGCAAGCAATGAGCCCGACAGGATCATATGCGTTTTGTTCCCTCAAGCACCAAGCCTCAGGAACCGGGTGTAGACTCAGAGACCGCAAAGGCGATGAGGAAAGGCCAGGCTGCTTTTCTTTTTCTCAGGATTCTCTCGAAGCACACTGCATTATGGTTTCCGACCCTAAGATGTGCAGATCGGGTCCCCTAAAGAGATGATTCTTTAGGTGAAAGTCAGGAGGTGAGATACTTTGCCAGGAAGAGAGGAAATAGCTGCGGCCAGAATTCATCCCAAACCACTATGGTAAAACCTGGACAAAGCCTACATTCCTGTTTCATTCCTGGCAATGGGATTGCAAGGCCAAGCCAAGAAGCCCAAAAACAGCAGAATGAAAGCTATCCAAACAAGAACAATGTTTGAGGTAAAGTCCTCAGCGTAAAGCGTTGCTTTTTTAAATGTTCTTTTGCATATTTATTTCTCCTTAGGCCTTGGCGCATTTGCCTGAAATTTTGAGTTGTTTGATTTTTTTAAAAGTCCTTTTAATTGTTTCTTTTCTGGTTGTGAAACCTCCCATCCGAAAAAATATAGGCTTTGGTATTGGAGTTGGGTTCATGAAGGGCACTGTACACAACAAAGTGGTTTGACTGAGTTTCAGCTGCAGTGGTCACTTCTGTTCTGTAGCTTCTTTTTGACAGCCTTCCTGTGTATAAAAAACCTCTCCTGTATTGTTGTTCAGGCCTCTCCCCTGTATGAGGTTTCTCCCATATTCAACACCCTCATGTGTTGCACACATATGATTGTTTGGGCAAGCATGCCCTCCTTTACAAGAGTTGTTTGCACAAACAACAAGTGTTATTTTCCTTGAGACATGTTTTCGTTGAACAGGCACTCTCCTCCAAACAGCCGATTTACTCCTTTGTGAATGCCTAGGACAGCGTCCCTGGTGTTATTCGGGTCGCTTCGCGGCGACAACCCACACCATTGGCTCTTGGGGGGCCAAATGTAGTTTCTTGTAATCACTCTAATCACTAATCACTCTTTTTTTTGTCCTTTGAAATTGAACATTTTCCCGGGGCCAAGATTACATCCAACAATGCTTGCAAGTTGCAAGTAAGACAAAACTAAACAATTTGGAAGAGAGTCCGAAACTAAACAATCCACTGCAGGCTCTGTTCATCTCTAAGTCTTGTCTCGATCATGCACATTGTGTAGCTTATTGTGTTTAATCACTCTATTGATCGACCTCCTTGAAATCGTGCATTTTTTTGGTCAGCGGTCCAAATAATATCCATTTGCAGGCATTGTTATTCATTCATTCAAGGTAGGCAGGGTCGGTGATGAGGAATTATTTGATGTCATTCATTTTAAGTGCACTCCTTGAAGCTTGCGGCTCAAGCCAAAAAGCTGAAAGGAGTGACGCTCCTGAAGAGTCTAGTGTCTCTGACTCTTCAACAGTTGTTCTTTTCCTGCGTTGCCATGGACGATCTGCACATGTGCCGTGCAGTGGAGCAGGAGCAGTTCAATGCCTGGTGCACTGCTGCTGGCATTGCAACGGCCAGCGGCCTCGTCATTTACTTCACGTCTTATGCTGGGGCGTTGAGGGAGGCTGGGCGAGCTGTGGCCGATGGTTTGGATTTGGCCCGGTGGGGGGGTGAGCCGGGCATGGCTGCCCTGGTGGGGCGCGGGCTTTTTGCTTGTGAGACTGTGTGCCAGTCCCGTCCTGCGCAACCATCTTCTGCGGCAGTGCTTCCCACATCGTCTTCGACTTCGGTGGCCAGGCCTACACTGACTTCATTTGCTGGGCCTGTCAGGCCCAAGTGTGTGCCGGACGAGCACCCGTCTGGCGCGAGGAGGGGTGTCGCCTCTTTGTTCCTCAGGGACTTGCTTGGCATTATGGTGACGCTGATGCCTCCCCCTCTGGCACGAGAACAAGAGTACCTTACCAACTCGGGCCTTTGCTTGGGTGGCTTTGCGTGAAGATGGAAGCTGCTATGGTGAAATGGGTGGTACACACCTCCTGAGATACATGGAACATTTGGGCCTTCAGTTCCCTGACTATCATGCTCTGGCTTATTCGTGCACATCATGGCCCTACCAGAGTCTACACATGCCTGGGTTGGATGATCCGGAACTTGTGGGTTCCTTTGGCCCTCAGCATTGGAGCCAGGCATGGTGTCTCCTCGGGCCCTTGAAGAGGCGTCGCCTCCCACAAAAGACGGCGGGTGGCCCCTGCTTCTGCGGCACTGCGTGTGCCAGCCAGCCCGGCTCAGGTGGCGCCTACAGCCCCCGTCAGGGGCCCGGAGTTGCTGGCAGTTTCCGTCACGAAAAGCCGCGGGCGCCCGCTGCCAAGGCCAGACCCCCGCCGCCTGCGGGGAAATTGAACGCGGCCTCAGATGCAACATTCGATGCTGCCGCTCGTGAGCGTCGTTGGCGACGACCTGGGTACAGCGGCAAGGCTGAACCTCCTAAGCCCTGATACCCCTCGGCAATGGCATTGCGAAGCAAGTGCTGGTTGCTGCTTTGCAGCGGCAATGCGGGGGCATTTGCCGGTCACTGCATTTCGTCTCAATTTGCAGTGGCAATGGGGGTGCTATTGCTGGTCACTGCCTTTCTTTTGATGATTTTAGGTGGTAGCAGTCCGCCGTGTACCACCGGTCCTCCATGTCCTGTGGCAGCTGCCTGCTGAGTGCCACCGGTTTTTGCAGCAGTCGGCTAGGCGAAATGCTCCAGGTGATGCTGATTCAGATCTTTTCAAGTCAAACTTAAATGGCGCGGCCGAATATGACTATATATTTTTGACCCGCTGAAAAATGTGCAATTTCAAGGGACCGAAAAGTACAGTATATCCAAGAATGCTTGCAAACTGCAAGTGGGACATAACTAAACAACGTGTAAGCAGTGTCTGTTGGGGGATCTCAATGCTTTCTAAGAGTGTCCGCCTTGCTGCGGGACAGCGTGTAGGCCTTCCGTCCGGCTTGTCTCCCTTTCTCTCCCTTTGTGTTGGTCACTGTGTCCGCCTTTGTATCCCTTCTGTTTTCTTTTGTCCCCCTTCTTGTCTCGCTTCTTGTTGGTCATTGTGGGTCATTGTGTCCGTCTTGTCTCCCTTCTGTTTCCTTTTGTCTCCCTTCTTGTCTCCCTTCTTGTTGGTCATTGTGTTCATCTTGTCTCCCTTCTGTTTCCTTTTGTCTCCCTTCTTGTTGGTCACTGTGTCCGCCTTCTCTTCCTTCTTGTCTCCCACGTCTCAGATGAACTTGGGAATGCTTCTTTGTTGTCCCACCTGTAGGTCCCAGGTGGTGTAATTCTATGTCTCTCCCTTGGACAATGTCTCTCAACAAGTGTGCGCACCTTTGCAAGAGACACCCTCTTTGAAAACGCCCCACTTGCAAACACTTGTTCTAGATGCTCAAGGTGTTACGATCCATGTTTTGTTTTGGGCAGTCTCACCCTTTGTAAGTTATTCACGCCCATTCCCAAAGCCTTTATTGTTTCTTATGAAATGCTACAAGCGTAGAGAAAGATGAGAAAGTGGTAAAGATGCATTTTTGATATGACAGATTTGTAGCAGCTGTCTTCATAAAACTACAGTTTCCTTCTTTGCACTGCTGTCATCCTGGCAAAAGTTTTGGATCTCGTCCTCCACAGACTTCTTCCTATCCTTCATTTCTTTTCAATAACCATTCTCCCCAGGAACAGTTTCTCATCTTTGGTTGGTGTGCCTCCCTGCCCCCCATTCAAGACCTCCCCTCATTGTAGAAAACAAGTATCCTTCTGTATAGATAGGTGATTTCCCCCAACGAAGTTTTATCGTATTTCATCAAGGTGTTGAGTCTCTTCTCTTCTCTTGTTTCATCCTGAATATTTGCATTTCGACTGGGTCTCAGACCATTTTTGGAAGTTTTCCAGTGCGTATGTAAACTCTTGTTTCTAGAGAATTCCTTTTCAACATATGGGCCTTTTGGTTTTGTATTCCCTAACCACTCTCGCAGCTATGATGATTCCATCCCGCTGATTGATCGGCTTTGACCGACCTCGCATGTTCGGATAAATACCTCCCACAGCCCACACCAGACAAATTTCGAAGCGGTGCCCATATATTAAACCAAGCTCTTTGAACCAAGGTGACTTCGTGGCAGTTGTTAGGTCACTGCATGAAGTGCGTGGAAGCAAGCTGCAGTTGGCAGGCACTGGGTTCGTGGCCATGGAGAACCTGCCGGATTCCGACGAATCTGAGGATGAATTGCTTGAAGAGGCCGGAGACACGGAAGTGTGTGCGTGTGCATAAAGAAATAGGCGGCGCAAGCTTTGGATGGGACCTTTAGTTAGTTAAACCACTTCGTGGGATTTGCACAATTTGCCCGAAAACTGCAAGACAGTTCAATTGCCCCAAGATCTGCTGGCACAAGTGATTGTACCAGGCTCCTGCAGCACAACCAGGACGAAAAGTCAGCTTTTCTTCAGCCCTAGCTCCAGCCGGTCGCCTTTTGAAAGCTTTATTCTATCATCCTTTGTGTTTGTGCCCAGGAAGGTGGTATAGATGTTCAAAAGGCACATGCCATGAGAAAAGGCATGGGTTGTTGTTTGGTGGTTTGAAGTGATGGGGTGTGCATAGCTTCAAGTTTTTTTGGTGATTTGGTCGTGCTGAGTGCAGGCACTGGGTTTGTGGCCACGGAGAACTTGCCAGAAACCGACGAATCTGAGGGCGAAGGTGAAGGCACCCGAGAGATAGAGGCAGGGAGAATTCCTGAACCATCCTGAACCCATTCTTTTTTCATTCTCCCCCCGCCAGATTTTGATGTGAACTTGGAAGGTTCCTACAAATCCACCTGAGCGGAAAGTGAGCTTTTCCCAAGTCCATTCCTTGCGATTGCTGCATGTGAGCACTCTCAGTCTACCTCTCTCCAAGGAAGTTGGCATAGATGGCCTGCAGGCCAATACTTTGAGAAAAGGCCAGGCCTTACAAGATTTTCTTTTGTGATTCTCGTCTTGCTCGGCTTCTTGCAGCAGTCGGAAATTGGCCAGTGCAACCGCGTTTAGGCACTGGATTTGTGCCCATGGCCAATCTACCTGATTCGGAAGATGAGGAGGCTCTCACTTTTTTGCCTGTTTGCGTGGATGTTGGTGTGTTTGGGTGAAAATACGTCAGTGTCTAGCACATAGACACAGAGGCCTTAGTATTCGCGGCGGGGCCAGGAAGAGGATGACTGCGATTACGAGGAAGATGACTTTGATCCGGAGGACTTGTGTGACATGTCGTGTGAGCTTCGCGTCCCAACAACGCATGTGTTTTGGATTTGGTTTTGGCAGCTTGTTCAAGTATGCTCAAGCATCCTGGAAGGCATTGGCCTGGAGAGCGGTGTTTTCCGGTCCAGGTTGACAATATAATACTGTACTACTTACTTATTTATTTCTGGCGTAGGGAATCAATAGTTGAGCAAGCATTACGGATTATCAGTAGTTGAGCAAGTCATCAAAGTCATGACGGCAGACATGCAGCCAAATGGTGAAGCATTGCATGTGAAGGCTATGTGCGAAACACGCATAAGTGTGCAGAAGGTTAAAATAGAACCTAGACCAGTTTGGTTTGGTATGCGTATGAAACATGCGCTGTGGACATTGACAAATTGAGGACAGCCCAAAGACCACTGGCAGTGAGGCCTAGATTCTGCATTGGGGCAGCGCACCACACGAGTTTGACTGAGAAACAACACCTACAACAATCACTTATCTACTGTAATGAAGCTGGAGCCGTGAGAAGATCAGATATAGCGAGTTCTGATCTCCAATTTGTGCACACCAAAGGTGTGCATATGTTGTTTCACGCCTAGACGGTCCCTTTGTGGCCCCTATTTGATAGCTCAAAGAGGCCAACATTGCAAGTGGTTGATGAAACGATGCCGTGTCATAATGGACTATGAAACATCAGGGTGGCCGTGATGCGGCTAAACCTGCATTGGTGGGACAATTCCTGCAATTTTGGGTCTCAAGAGCATGCCGAACGCATCAAAATGCCAGGCATCACTTGTCGTTTCTGCAACTGGGGCAGCTGCACATCTCTCCATATGCAGTCAAGGAGCCACAGTTCTCTTGCAGATCTTCCAGCATACCTCGCTCACTCTACGTCATAGTCGTTTGCGTAGTCCTTGTTGTTGGTCAACCTTCGACTCCATTGGCCATGGACGCCGTGGCCAGCTCTCCATTGCGAGAAACAGATGGGGGCAGTGATGACGACCTGGTCCTCTAGCTCAGCTTCTGTTCTGTTTTCGTGCTGACGTTGCTGCTAATTCAGCTGGCTGGCTCAAGACTTAAGAGCCTTTGAAGGTGTTTGGGAGCACAATGCCAAATAATGCAGAACCAGTCTGACAGGTACCTCTAGCATGGGGACCAGTATGTTTGATGCTCAGTGAGTCACGTATGTTGAAGTGCCATTAGTAAAATGCAAGTGAAAGAGGAGGCATCCATAGTCTATAAAGGGGTTTCGATGCAGTCTCACGACTTGGGGGATGGCCGCAGCCTGGTGCACGTCAGTGACATGACCCCAGATGGAACGTGAATCTGAAAGTGAAAGCGAAGAGGGCGACGTTTGTGGTATCATCGAAGCAGATGGGTTATCGCTCGAAGAATTGCCGGTACATCAAGGCGGGGCAAGGGAAAGAATATGTTAGGCAAATATAGCTAGGATGCTTCTCAAAAATCTGGAAGTTCATTACTGTTGCCTTAGGCCTTAGACCCGGTCCCTTGGTCCGCTTGCTGGGTATTCTTGGTGTAGGCTGTAGGGGATTGAGAGACTTGGCACGACGAAGGTGCAGCCAAAGGCACATGGCGAGTATCTGTGCTACGTGTGCTGTCACCAAGACCGCCGATCATTGAAGATGAAGATGGTGATTTGGCCATGCCGCGGACAGAACTAGGAGGAGAACTTCCACCAGGCCGATGTCACCACAACATGCTTTAACTCAACTACCTACAATCAACCTTGCTACTTTTTCCCTTAGGTCTTGGCTGTCTAAAGAGGGATCTTTGAAAAGATGCTTTGCTCAGGCCTTCTGGATTGGCAAATCCAAATGGCTCGTTTGGCTTCATCCCGGCTGGAACGAGTAGGTTTGCAGCTGTGGGCTGGTGCCTTGGTTCTGAGTGATTTCCTTTTGGCACGGCCATGGCTGCTACGTGAGCGCCACGTCTGCGAACTTGGCGCAGGTCTGTCCTGCCACACCTTGATCTACCATTTGTTTTCTTTTTGTGGCATTCTTCGACAAGTCTTGCAGTCTTGGGGTTCCTTTAACGACTTTAATGGGTCTTGCTTTGGCATGGTTATATATACATTGATTATTTTCTTACTTCTCCTCCTAGTGGTGCCGCGTCAAGCGAGTCTTTTCCAATGGAGGCCTTGGCCTTTGCTCTCTCCTTGCCTGCCGCTTGGGTGCAGCCTCAGTACTTTGCACAGACGGCCACCTGGAAGCAGTGGAAAACTGCAGGCAGAATCTGCAGAGGAATGGTGTCTCCGTGAAGGATGCAGAATATGCAGAGGCAAACCGAGAGGATGCCAATGTAAAGACTGTGAAGGTTGAAGTGCTTAGGTGGGAAGATCCACCCCCCCATGGAGGATGATGTTTGGGCTGCAGAAGTGCTTCTTGCAGCGGATGTGATCTATGATGCTGCTGCAGCCGAAGCTTTTGCAAAACTGGCAGCCAAGCTCCTGAACACCAAGGCAGAGAGACTCTACATGTCTTTGGAGAAGAGGGTCTATTTCTCGTCAGCTACATTCAAACCTGAAGTCGCGGCTTATCCACAGTTCCTGGAAGATTGTGCAGCGCTTGGCCTTGAAGTTGAGCCAGTTGATTTGTCATCAGTTCCAGTCCACTTCAATTATGTCCGTTCTCGGTTTTACGAGCTCGTTACCATCACTGCAAAGGGGCGAGCGAGCGTGAAACGGAAGCAAGAGCATGCGACAGAGGATGTGCAGTCTGGTGAAGGTGTCAACTGAGCCTGCTGAAAAAGACGCCCCTCTCTCTATATATAACTATCTGTTATATATAACTTATATAACTATCTATATATAGTTATATATACAAACACCGATACCTACCTACCTACCTACCTACATACATACATACATACATACATACATACGTACATGTTTTGTGCTTGGCATGGCTACAGTCATTCCCCTTTGTTGCGCACTCCACTGGCAAGCGCCCAGGCGGGGACGGATTCTATGAGCTTCAAGATGAGAATTGCGGAAGCCTTGGTTGTTCATAGTGCGTTCATGTGCACTTTGTGACTCACAGCCCGCGAGGTCCTAAAGATTATGAAAGCCGAGCTGACCCAGAATTTCGAGTCATACGGAAACAGGCCCTTGGATGCGATGAATCGGAATTTGTCAACTATTGTGTTTGCACCAGAGCTCTTCAGAATGGATCCTTACGCTCTGGTCCACTGGGAAGATGACGAAGCGCTTGCCGTAGAATTACCACTGTCACTTTCATTCAACAGTTATGTCGAGCTACGAAGGGAGTCGCCGGAATGCGCTTACTGAGGACAGCTTTGAACTGACCAAGACTCGTGTAGCACCTTGACCCAAGTTGACAGAGACACGACCCCAACCTTGGGCTCCATTCAACCTAGCAGTTGCTTTGAGGACTGGAATGCTCACATGAACCCTGTGTGGGAGCACACTTGCCAAGACCTCTGGGCACATAAACGTCGTTGAATTGCTGAAAAAATCAATGTGGGCCGCTGAGGCCGTCCACAACTGTACAAAGGCCTGCACCCTAAAACATTGTTACTATATAGTAGTAACAAGTGCCTTACTAGTAGTAACAAGAAGCTATTTAGAAACAATTGTTTCCTAATAGCAAACATTGTTACTACTAGTAAGGCACTTGTTACTAGAAGCGATGCACTTGTTCCTAGTAGCAATTATTGTTTCTAAGAAACGAAAGCCCTAGAAAGAGTTGAAGCTTTTCTTTATTCCAGTGGCCCGTCTGAGGAAATGCCACTGTGCGAATAGAGGCTAGGATCTATGAGCCGCTGTATGGGTACTGTATCTACCTTGCGAACCCTTGTGGTGCAACACTTTCCAGGTCGTAGAGGCAAACATGGTGGGGCCTTCCACTTTGTGTGGCCACAGTCTCAGTTGACAGACACTCAAAGAGGCAAATTAATAGCTGGAGCCTGTGCCAGGTGAGGCCACCTGCAAAGCTGTCCACACCTCATTGTTTGCGTTCCCTCAATGGGCTGGTTGAAGTCAGTTTTAGATTTTTTTTGGGGCAGGCTTGAGTCCTGCATCATACATGTTTGACCAAGGAAGATTTAGTGAGCCAACTGCCAGCTCCTGGAGTACCAAGCACCTCTCAGGCACGTGGTTGAAGGGAAAGGAGAACAGATGCACAGCCATATTATGATGCATGCCAAGAAATCAAGGTCTTCAAAGAACACAACATTTGGTTCTGGCAACTGCCCCGGCAGGCAGCCATGCATGCGGAAACCTCGCTGCCCTTGACCTTGAATGGCAAGGTGGTCAATGGAAAGCTTTCGGTTGTCAACGATTGTCTTGCAGTGCAAGGAGACGGGCAAGGTTTGTGTACAGGCAATGCTTGCCCGGAACTTGGAGTGCCGCTGAACACTGACCATCGTAGGTCAGGAAATGCGTCCCAGGAGGATTTTGAGGAACTGTAATCGATCGAGGTTCTTGTAGGGTTGTAGGGTTCTGATACGTTGAATGTGGGAAATGGTGATGCGACACTTGCCACGAGTGCATATGAGTTGATACATTTGGCATTTGGCCAGGTGCCACACACAAGAGGTGCGCACAGGGAATGGGCCCAAAGCCAGGAACTTTCTCAACTTCCTGCGGATTATTGCGGTTTTTCTGTCCTTGCTTTGCGGCAGGTCTCAGGCCTTCGTATTCCAGAATTGAAGCGTCGCTGTTCGAGGCGGAGTCCGCATCTCCACCTGTGTATATATATATATATCAATTCAAAACGTTACCCTGGATGTCTAGCAAAGACCACCAGAATCACTCTGCAGAACCCAGTGAAGCGCTTGGGCGTGTCTGGTGGCACAGCGCCTTTCTTCAAGCTAAAGTTGCGCCGGGCTTGGGTGCTTCAGAAATGGTTTGTTGTGGATCCTGAGTGGCCGGAATTCCATATACTATTCTTCTTCGTGTTTGCTAGAGATTTGACCCTTTCATCCTTTTCTACTTTTTGCCATTTGGTCCCACTCCTGATTGCAAAGCCCTGCGGCCTGTGTAGTTCCCTGAGGCTTGATGCCTCTGAGAAGCCAAAGGATTACTACATAGGCTGATGCTTTCAATGTGATTACTTGGGTTTGAGTACAAGCATAAGTGATTCTTTCAATCTGATCCAGGAAAGTTCATTGAATTTCCGGGACCATAAAATTGGCAGGCAAAGACCTAAGCAGGGCCGGCGATGAGCTGGACTTCTATGAAGAGGCCGGAGCCATTAAACTCGATGCAGCACTCCAATTCATTCGCATGTTTTGTGTCCTTTCAATTCAACTCAATGGCTTGGCTCTCACCCCCAATTCAAGGTCAAGCATTGCAGAGGCTTGCCCACAACTCAGCTTGGCTTTTTGCGTACAGCTTGGCGACATGGAGGCTTTCCTTCGCATTTCAAGATGCTTGATAGTTTCCACATGTTTCCATGAGGCCTATTGCTGCAGCGCTTTGGCCGATGCCCCAAAGAAGAGAAGTGGCTTTGGCAGTGTCATGAGAAGTATGCGGGTATTTGGGCTACTCATCTCGGGCTGCGAGGAGTTTGCTTGCAAGACGTTTTCAGGTTGAAAAGCAATGAGTAATCATTCCCCAAATGCAAGCCTCATCAATTGAATTAGGGTGTGAAGTCCGCAACAAAGCCCGCATGGCCAATGTTCTGAGGCCTTTGCTAGACTTCACTTTCGACTACGCTGGCATTGTTTCGCTTCATGAGGACTTCATGCCATGGGAGAGTCTTACAGTATACTGTATTGTATTACGATTGTTGAGACAATGCTGTGACTGTCCTTCGCAATAATGCGTTGAAAGGAGGGAAAGGAGGCAAAGAGGCCCATGGATCTTTTGGCAACTGCCCCAGATGGCCTCGCAAGCCATCGACCGCGAGCCAACTCAAGATTTGCAGGTTCTTCAAAACCTCCACTGTGGCCGCTCCCGGCTTCGGTTGCTTGATGTCAAAATTGGGCAAAAGTCGGCTCCTCAACTTCACTTTGTCATGGGTAACTATAAAGAAGCAATATATAAATATATATATATACATACATATAACAATAGTATATATATATATAGAGTGTACATATATATAGACATATGCATACGTACATGCATGTGCCGCTACGTTCCTGACAGCAGTGGTTTAGGGTGGCCAAAGCGCTTTCCAAGGACTGCTCAGGGAGGTTGGCGGGGGAAGTCGTGCCCTGAGCATCCCAACACACCATAGCATATGCAAGATACTTGTATCCACATGCTTCCCACCCAGTCGGAATGAGCACATTCAGGATGGCTTGAGTCGCAATTGCTGTGCTGTTGCAGCAGGTCGCATGCTGCAGCATATCGGCAGGCGATAGTGGCGTTAGTCTCAGAAATCAGCGCCTTTCTTGTGTCTTGAATTTTGTTTTTGTTTTCGAAGGGAGCCCTGAATTTGCAAGGATGGCCACACCAATTCTTCTGGTGAGGGCTTCCGGCTTGAAGGCTTTGACGGCCAACCGAGCTCACTGAAATCTATGGACCGAGGGCTGGCAAATTGAGCAGAGTTCCCACACATAACATGGTGATATGGTGCTTTTGTGGATGAAGATCGTACTTGCCCCTCATAGTCTTAGACATGGAGACAGATTGTGGTTGATTTGGAATCAAATGGTGTAATTGTAGCCAGTCAAATAGCTAGAAGTGGGCCGTGAATGACCTACCAAGACCCTCACATCCGGTGCATTTTGCATTTCGCAGTCATCAATGCATTGACAGCCGCCCGCGGGGTCACACTCAATCCCGCCTATGCATAGTTTATATATGTTTATATATAGTTCACATGCAAAAGTCTGCTAAGTGGGTGAACGGTCAAGCGGTGTATTGCCTGCGAGTGCATAGTTGGAATTGTGCTGACACCCCCAAAAGCAATTCTCGCTTGTAGCATTGAGTCCTTTTGTTTCATTCTTGCACGTTTGTTTAGCGGGGGGGGATTGGGGGATTGCCACCAAGTCTCCCCTTTCCGTCAGATGCTTTTTGCGTCTTCTCAAAGTAGACGCGTCATGCATGTAGTCACAGTCCATTTGCACAGCTTTTTGCTTGCATGCTTGGTGGTCCATTTGCCAGCTTGCCTGCCTGGCTGTCTAGAGTCTATGCAGCACCTTGTGAGTACACATTCGTGCTCTTGTCGGAATCTCGCCTCTGACACCACTGTTGGCTTCCCTGAATGAATGTGAACATTTATATAACATCATTTGGAGGGGATATGATCTATTCATACCGTGCAAAACTCCACACTGGGTGAAGGACCCACTGCTCGATCTCGGGCATGGAAGCGTGCGATCCTGACAGCTCAGACGTTCGCTCTTCTCAACCGTGTTGCGTGAGCCCAGGCGAAGCTGTCCAAGAAGGCTTGATTGAGACATGTTCAGGACATCAAAACTCAAGCTTGTTCTTTGCTGGGTGTTTCAGGCTTTGCGGATAATGTTGCAACGGATGACGGCATCTAGCATGCTCATGTGACCCAGTTTAGCTTTCAGAACTGGGCTTTGGAGGGTTGCATGCAGTGCACGCTGCAGTCGCTTGACGATTGGTAAACGAAAGGCTGCAGTTGAAACTGACATGTTCCCGTGTCATTTTCCATGCACCGCTTGTACCAGATTGGTGTGTCAATAGATTGAACCCTCAGCTCACGCAACTCACTCCATGCTCTAGACTTTACCTACTGTACTTACGTACTTGGTTCATCTTGATTCCAGTCGCGCAATGACTACCGTACAATTGCCTCACTTTGCTTCACTCTTGCCACTGGTCACTTGCTGTACTTGCACACAAGCCTTAGCATGCTAGCTAGCGCAGTCTCGTCCACTCAAATTACGAAAGCCAGCCGGTAGGCTAGGCTGAAGTTAGTTCCGGGGAGCGGAAAAAATATGTAACCCTTGAAACTTGCACTTTTTTGTGGAGGCCTTTTTGGCCGGTTGGGGATGCAGATGATACCAGCTTTTGAGAGTTGGGTCGCTTGGTGTTCCACACACACAAAATCCTTCCAGCCACCCACAGGTCGCTCCGTGGGGAATCTTCCCGTCTCTGAAGGAGAAGATTTAAGGGGCTTACGCCCAACAGCGGGCCAGCAGGGGGTTCAGTGGCAGGCGGGAGGGGCAAACAGGTGAGACTTGTTGTTGTTGTTGTCGTCGTCGTCGTCGTCGTCGTCGTGGTTGTTGTTGTCGTTGTTGTCGTGGTTGTTGTGATGGTTGTGGTTGTCGTTTTTTTTGTTGTTGTCGTCGTGGTGGTGGTGGTGGTTGTTAGAAACAAAAGCCGCTGCCCGACATAGTTGTCACATGTTGTAACTCTAGAACTTCAAGGGAAGATTTGGGATACGGTTGAAGGTTTGAGGGAATGTTGGCTTTGTAAGTAGCTGGGCTTGTTGGACTTGTTTCACTGAAGTTTGGGCTGGTCCGTTTTTAGTGTTTTTGAGGTGTTGTTCTGGAGGGGGAAGTCCAAAAACAACAACGGGGCTGCAGTCTTTGTTTGAGGATGGGGTAGAGTATATAGAAGGCTTTACAGAGGTATACTTGACAGGTTACTACTGACTACTACTACTACTTCTACTACTACTACTACTGCTACTACTAGTACTAGTGCCACCAGTACTAGCACTAGTACAGGCACTAAAAGGGGTTCTCAAAAATCAATGGCGGGGCTGCAGTTTTTTCTCCCACCTCCTTGTAGAGACAAAGGAAGAAGATATGTTGTGCTGTAACGGGGTTGCAGTTTTTTGTTTGTCCTTGTTGTTGTCGTTGTTGTTGTTGTTGTTGTTGCTGAACCCTTCTTGGAGTGGAATCCTTGGAAAAGGGAGATGGGCAGACAGCGCAAAATGCGCCAATTCCTTGGGCAAAACCATGGAACAAAATCTGAGCTTGTTGCGCCATGCATTCCAAGAGAAGGACAATTGCATTCGCCTGGTTGCCATTGCGACCCAACAGGGCACTGCGGAAGTCGTACCGTGGAGGTTGCAGAATTTTCTTTGCAACGACAACCTGACAGGGCTGAATGCTACCTTTTGCTGACCGTGCGGGAGCCAGTTCACTCATATTGTTTGGAAAGGAGCAGCTTTTCCGCCATACGATTCATGTTTCCTTCTCATTTTGCTTGCGCGGCGGAAGTTGGAAGCTGTAAAGGCATTCGCATGAGTCCAATCATCGCAATGACATGCAATGACCATGGTGGGGGGCGGCGCGACTTGACTCGTCCGAGAGCGTGGAAGACAGAGAGGGAGAGAGAGTTTGTTGTTGTTGTTGGCGTGGCTGGTGTTACCAGAAACATCCAGAAACAGAACGTGCAGATAATTGTGCATGGCAACTTGGACGGCATTACTCGCACCACCTTGAAGGAAACCGGGGGCCTTACGAGCAACTTACGAAGAGACAAATTACATTTTTGAACATCCTGTCGTGCAAAAGATCGAAAAAGAGAATGCTTT